TAATAATAATAATAATAATAATAATAATAATAATAATAATAATAATAAAGTTTTAAATACGTATAGATATGCAAAAGGGAGGGCCTTTGGCAATCTCTCGCTAATTTTTAATACTGCATTTTGTCACTTAATTCTTATTCGTAGCATCTTTCTTGTTAAACTACCAAAGTCGTGGCAATTATTAATTATTACAATCGTATGACATAAACGGTACTAACGATTTAGTGACTGTTGTAAAAATATGCCCATATTTGTAGATATAAATAAATTTTCATGTAATGTGTGATTCGTTTCTATATGATATACTCCCTCTGTCTGAAAATATGGTATACATTTTAATATTTTTTTTGTCCGAAAATATGGTGTACATTTGCGAACAAAATCAAATAAAACTAAAATTAAATATAAAGAGAATATTAAATTCATTTTACTATCACAATATAACTAAGTACAAATAATTTTAGTGTAATCCAAATTTAGTTAAAGTGAGATTTAATCTTGTTGAACGCTTCTTCTGAGCATATATACTTTTCAGCTAGTCGACTCTCACGACAAAGTTTTATAGCAATTCCACTCTGTCAATATAATTGATTCCATACACGTTTGTAATGTTATAAAAACGTTATCAAGAGTATTTCTCTCTAATTTATTAAATGCATTTTGAACACATTCACAAATTTATTAATAGCACCGTGTTCTAATTTTTCGTTGTTCTTCGTATATTGTAATAGCTGTTGCAAGATACCACGACGTTGTTCATTAGTCAATTGCTTCGATTTGGCATCTCTTCTTTATAAATTCACGTTATTTGGATTAGAATTTTCCATTTTGAAAGTTTCGGTCTTCAAATTCCAACTTAACTGAAAAGCAACGTCTGTCAAATATGTTTGGTTATGTAGCTGTCAATGTAAACAATACCAACATAATGAGTATTGCCAATTGCTTTCGAAACTCTAGATAATCGAAGATTATCTTTCAAACGTATACCATATTTTTCGGACAGAGGGAGTATGAGTACTATTTATCTACGAAGCAAACCAATGACAAACAGACCGTACGTCAAAATTATCATCTCCCATACATGTTCGAATCTCATCGCGTGTTGCTACGGCAATGCAATTCCGGACGAAAGGGTGGGAGGGAGTTTTGATTTCCCTACGGTACATCCAACAAAACTCATTTATACTCGTTTCGGAGATTATCAAAGTCCACGGACCCATTTAATTTATCCTACTAAGGCTGGTCCGGACATTTAAATACGCGTGGCCAAACGGCAAAATACTGGCTACGCCGGTGTAGCTTTGTAGTTGCACAATGTCTCCATTATAATATTTCAGATCTGAAAGCTTTCGACCCAAACGCGATATTACTCGTCGGATGATTAACATCTGCGAGTACGAAGCGGCTCAGCATCTGCGGAACTGTTTCTTTCATATTTCATTTCGTGAAGGTACGTACTTGAAAGGACATTTTCAAACACCATGTACAGAAATTAAAAATGAATTTTGTTGTCTCGCAATTTACATAGGGAAGTTAACAAAGTCGAAGTTCAAGTTAAGTGATCGAATAGAAGAAAATTGACGATTCGATTAGATTCATAGTTGTTTTTCTTCGGCGAATATAAGGAAATATCGTTGCGTTTTATGAAAAGTTACACGCACAACGGTAAATAAGTTTTAATCACTTTCGTTTCACGCGAGAACGGTCGATCGGCAGACTGCTACGCCTGCCTCGCACGCAGCGAAATAAATTATAATTGCAGAGAATGAAATTAAACCGTTAAAGCGAAAGTGTTAATTACTCTATTTAAGCGCAGACGGTTTCGCAGACGGTTAAAGACTTTCACAAGAAAGACCGTCGCTCGCGAAGACTCGGCGAGAGATTTACCTTGATTTTGTAGCCTTTGTTCGTACGCATTATGAGATAATGGGCTATTCCGCTTGGTTGGAATTCGCGCGGCACTCGAAGCGAAAGGGCATAACATCCGGGTTTACTAGTGCTCTCTCGCACCATGAAGGCTCCTTCCGGCTCTTGGCTCAACACTTCTAGCGTTATTTCCCTGCAATCGTAAATGACCACAACACTGTGAAAATGTACTATAAATTAACAGCTGTTTTTTTTTTTTTTTTTTTTTTAAATAAAATTGTTCACGAATTGTTGAAACGTATGTTAGTTCCTTGCTAGTAATGTTCATTCACAATCCCAATCTAATATTCCACGTCGCGATTTTTATAACGCAATGTTCTAGAATCTAATTTTCGCGTCATTCGAGTGTCACTCGTACAATATTTAGTAAATGAAACAAATTTCTGTTCAATATTTATAGAATTTATATATGTGATATGTAGGATTCGTAAGAATCTAAATTTAAATTTTAAACATGAAGAAATATCAAAATGTATATATATATATATACACATTATATATACATATATACATTATATATACATTATATATACATATATACATTATATATATACATTATATATACATTATATATATATATATATACATTTTGACATTCTTGAGAATATGCACATGTACTTTATATATATATACATTTTGATATTCTTAAGAATATACACATGTACAACTACTTTATATATATATATATATATATATATATATATACAATTCATTATATATATATACACAATTTATTATATATATATATATATACATTTTGATATTCTTAAGA